ACTACCAGAGTCAGAAGACTCGTCGACCGGAACGACCGACGGGAGGGGGGTGACGTGAGACACACCAGAGGGGGCCGGACGGGGGGGCGGGGGGGGGGAGGGGCAGGGGCCACCAGGGAGGGAGGAACCAGGAACAGGGGGGAGTAACCGGGGGACCACGGTGGGGAAAGCGGCGGAAGAAGGAGACGGACTCGTCAAAGGTGACGTCGCGAGAGTGAAAGAAACGGTGAGACGGCGGGTGGTGGAAGTGCCAGTCGGACGCGTCAAGGGGGAAACCGAGGAAGACGCAGGGGAGGGTGCGGGCAGTGAGCTTGTCCGTGCCAGAGGCACGAACGTGAGCAAGGCAGCCCCAGACGTGGAACGCAGACGCGTCACCAGGGGACCCGGTCCACAGAAGGGTCGGCGAAACCTGCGGCCGCTGGGGGTGCGGCCACAGGTTAAGCTGGTGAGCGGCGTAGCGCACGGCGAACGGCCACAGAAAATGGGGTGCACCGGCGTGGATCATGGAGGTGCGAGCCACCTCCATGACCAAACCGATGCGTCGCTCAGCGACCCCATTCTGCTGCGGGGAGTCCGGCAGGGTAAACGTCTGGGTGATGCCCTCCGCACGACAGAAGCGACCAAGGACACCTGAGGCGAACTCGCCACCCCGGTCGGAGTGGAGGCGCAAGGCAGGGAGACCGCGGTGGAGACGAGCAGAGACAAGCCAGGGGATGAGAACGTCAGGCACGTCGGCCTTCCGCTCCAGGGGAAAGACGGTGGTGTAACGTGTGAAGTCGTCGACAAGCACTAGGAAGAAGCGCTCGCGACGCGGCCCATGGACCGGGGCTGGGCCCCAGACGTCCATGTGCAGAGTCTGCAGGGGTGCGGTGGTAGGGGGAAAAGAGGAGGAGTGAGGGGCACGGCGGAGCCGGCCCTCGACACAAGGCGTGCACGGTGGGGCGGGGGATGAGGGAAACTCAGGGAACGAACCGGGGAGACCAAGGACGAGACCGTGCTGGGACATGTGACGCAGACGCGGGAGTGCAGGGTGACCAAGGCGGTGGTGCCAAAGGAGAGTCGGATGAGGGAGGGACCGACAGGAGCACGCAGCAGCAACCTGGGTGGACGCAGCTACCTGGGGGGAAGACCCAGCCGGGGACGTCGCGGTGTCAAGTGTGAACAGGCCGGACACCGGGTCCCGGGGGAAAGTGGTAAGGGGGGCACCAGTGTCGGCCTCGGTACAGACAGCATACCGCTCGTGACCAGGGAACGTAGTGGTGACGCCAAGGTCCTGGAGGCAGCCGACACCAACTAGGTTCCTGGAGAACGAGGGGATATGCAGACCGGTGAGCGAACCTGAAGGAACCGCCGGACAGGGAAGGGAGGTGGAACTGCGGGCAAAGACGGGACCACCGGAGGGGTCACCAAGAGTAACTGCAGCAGGAACAGGCAGCGGCGTCAGCGTCGTGGAGTCGCGGAAGAAACACCGGGAGGCGCCAGAGTCCAAGGTGAAGGAAAGCGCAGCAGTCGCGCGGGGCGACAGTGAAGCGGTGGAAGCACCGAGGCTAAGCAAAGCAGGAGATCCTACGCCTGACGCAGCAGGGGAGTCTACGCTAGGCACAGCTACACTAGGCAATACGGGGTAATAAGAGGGAAGCACACTAGAGTCATCGGCATACATCACATGCAAGGCTGCTACAATGGCATCCATGTCCAAGTCAAAAATCCGAATGCTACGCCTAAGCAAGCTGTGCCAGTCCGGGAGGTCGGGCGCCGGGCCAAAGCGCTGGCGGAACAGGTCGTCCAGACGACGAAAACAGCGAGGAGTGGAATGACCGATCTTATCGCAAACAAAGCCGCGGCGAGGACCGGTCTGGATCTGGTACTGACAGGGCCCGCCTCCAGAACCACCACCCGGTGCACCACCACGCGCACGACCACCACCAGCTCCAGGCCACCCAGGCGGGAGAGCACTCGCCGGCCTCGTCTGCGGCGGCTGCTGCGGCTGCTGCAACGGTGGAGGCAGCGGGGCAGCTGGACCGGGCAGGGTCCCCACGTCCGCACCGGCACCGGACGACCCGCCTCCACCACTACCCCCACCCGCACCCCCGCCACCCCCGCCGCTCCCAACCTTGGGGCGGCGGCCCTTCCCCGAGCGGGACTGCACTGCAGCAGCAGTCTCAGCCACAGCGACAGAGCCGTCGGAGAAGGTACACTGAGCGAGGGCACAACCCTGAAAGATAGGGACCGGTACTGTACCGCTCGCCTGGGCTATGGAGCGGTGACGAGTCTCTATGGCAGTCAGGGTGTCAACAAAGTCGGTGAGGGTGAGAGCAGCAGGGTGGATGCTAAGGAACTGGTCGCGGGCGGCGGCAAGGCGGTCAGGGAGGCGGGTGGCAAGGAGGTAGAGGGTAGAGGTCATGGGAGGCTGGTGGACTCTAAGCTGTGCATCAGTGCAGGCAGCGCGCCAGGCCTCATCTATCGAGCGCAGGTGGGCAGCGAGGTCAGAGACAGTGGGGAAGGACGCCAGGTCAGGAAAGAGCAGGGGGAGGATCAGGCGACCCACTGAGGCAGCAGGAGGGGTAGAATAGCGCTTGATGACAGCATCGAGGTAGGCCTGGGCGGTAGTAATGGTTCTAAAGCGAGGGCGCTCAAGGGGGGGGAGGGCATTGCTAATGGCGAGCTGAGCAAGGGCATCGCGGGAAAGCCAGACAGAGCGGGCAAGGGCAGCGGCGGCAGTGGACTCGCGCTCAGCGGGCGTGGGATCAGCAGGCAGCACAGCAGGGGGGTCAGGGCAGGGGAGCATACCGTCTAGGTGTGCAGAAAGCGGGTGGCCGTCCTGCCGCTGACCAGTGAGGTGGCGGCGAAGGTCAGCCAACCACGCCTCGAACTCCAGAGGCTGACCCTCAGCATCAAAACGAAGCTCAGCAGCCATGAGGGGCAGTGGAGGACAGTGGAGTGCGGTGTAGTGCTGTGCAGTGCGGTGCAGTGCGATGCAGTGCGGTGCAGTGCGGTTCAGTGCGGTGCAGTGCGGTCAGTGCGGTTCAGTGAGGTGCAATGCGGTGCAAGGCGGGGCAGGAAAGTGCAGGAGGGTGCAAAGTGGTGCGGGGAACGGGGGACAGTACCAGGAAGTATGGAGGGCCGGGGCAGGCGCGACGGGGCCGGGCAGGCGCGACGGGGCCGGGCAGGCACGTCGAGACCGGGCAGGCACGACGGGGCCGGGGAGGCGCGACGGGGCCGGGCGGCTGCGACGGGGCCGGGCGGCTGCGACGGGGCCGGGCGGCAGCGACAAGGCCGGGCGGCAGTTACGAGGCCGGGCGGCTGCGACGGGGCCGGGCGGCTGCGACGGGGCCGGGCGGCTGCGACGGGGCCGGGCGGCTGCGACGGGGCCGGGCGGCAGCGACAAGGCCGGGCGGCAGCTACGAGGCCGGGCGGCAGCGACAGGGCCGGGCGGCAGCTACGAGGCCGGGCGGCAGCGACAGGGCCGGGCGGCAGCGACGGGGCCGGGCAGGACACAGCAGGGCCGGGCGGGGGCGACGGGGCCGGGCGGGCGCGACGGGGCCGGGCAGGTGCGACAGGGGCCGGGCAGCTGCGACAGGGGCAGGGCGGGCGCCACGGGGCCGAGAGGCCGCGACAGGGCCGAGCTGGGGCGACGGGGCCGAGCAGGGGCGACGGGGCCGAGCAGGGGCGACGGGGCCCAGGAGGGTGGATACGGGGCCCAGGGAGGAGCGCGGCAGGGCCCAGGAGGGGCGCGGCGGGGCCCAGGAGGGGCGCAATGGGGGGCCCAGGAGGGGCGCTACGGGCCCAGGAGGGGCACTACGGGCCTAGGAGGGGCGCGACGGGGCCTGGGAGGGGCACGACGGGGCCCAGGAGGGGCGCTACAGGGCCCAGGGAGGGCGCGACGGGTCCCAGTAGGGGCGCTACGGAGCCCAGGAGGGGCGCGACGGGGCCTGGGAGGGGCGTTACGAAGCCCAGGAGGGGCGCTACGAAGCCCAGGAGGGGCGCGACGAGGCCCAGGAGGGGCGCTACGGGGCGCGACGGGGCGCGACGGGGCCTGTGAGGAGCGCGACGGGGCCCAGGAGGGGCGCTAAGGGGCGCGACGGGGCCCTGGAGGGGCGCTACTGGGCCCAGGAGGGGCGCTACGGGGCCCAGGAGGGGCGCTAGGGGGCGCGACGGGGCCTTGGAGGGGCGCTACAGAGCCCTGGAGGGGCGCGACGGGGGCCTGAAGGGGCGTTACGAAGCCCTGGAAGGGGGGCGCGACGGGGCCTGGAGGGGCGCTACGAGGCCCTGGAAGGGGCGCGACGGGGCTAGGGGGAGGGGTCGCGACTGGGCTCAGGAGGGGCGAGGCGAGGCTAGGAGACGCGACGGGAGGAGCGGAAGCGGTAGGTGGGGGGGGGGGGGGGGGGGGGGGTCGAAACCTACTCGTGATACCATATCAAACCTAGAATTGAATAATGTGAGAGTGAGAGTACACAAACATATACCTAAATGTTGTACTCTCTAGAAGGTGACCCTATACAGTCTATACAAACATGATAACTACACATGTTTGACAGTTGCTAGCTGAGCATGAGCACACCAGTGCCCTGTTGCCCTGTTTGGAAACCTAGGTATCTAAGGGCGCGTGCCGCACGTACGTTTCTCGCTCAAAACCCCACTCAACTGTTCCAGATCGCTATAATGACTTTTTAAATCGAAGAGCAACTCACCCAACCGCAATTAAACGTACGCTCGGGACACGCCCTAGCTTGGTTGCTCGAGCTACCAGCTACCGGTAAGTCAAGTAGTTGCTGTTTATCGCATGCCTGGAGGGCCCAGAGTGAGGTTGATGGAGAGCAGCGAGGTGGAGAGGCATGGCCCGAACCCTTTGTTCCCTAACACCAGCTTTCCCAGTTGTGCTCAAGTCGTGTATTGGCACTGGGGGTTACGAGGCAGGTTCAAAGTAAATCCTTCCTTGTCCATGTGCGCTCCCGAAAATCTGTTGCCCATGTGCAGTTCTGAAAATCTGGTCCGCTTGAATTGAGTCCGAACCTTTGTGACGTATTTATTATAATCAGATCACACATCTAGTTCACAGATGCCGAACAGGAGCTAGCATCTCGGTCTAGTGGATGCAAAGGTATTGCTACCCCCAATCCTACACTATCTAATGAACGTTTGGCGCCGCGCCGAATACTGTCGCTTAGCTGCCAGCCACAAGCTTGAAGACAACGCAGCGACGAGCCTGAGACGCAAGTGAAACGAAACGAGTGAGCACCGAATCTCCAAGAGGCAACGAACTAGGTCGTGGACCCAAGACCGGCAGAGTACATTGTGGAATAAGAGAAGAGGGACAAGGGAGGGCGACAGAGCTGCCGCCACTGCCGCAGCTGCAGCAGCAGCGACAGCAGGCAGTATATCCTCACCATAGGGTAGCCGGGCTTGCCGTCGTTGGGATTGAGCCAGTCGGACGCGTTAACGCCTTTGCCGAGCTTGATCTTAGCGGTTTCGATGTAGAGCTTGATGCACTTGCCGTTGAGCTCGTCGACCTTGGACTGGGGCATGGGCCGGATGCCCAGGCGGTCGTTACGGTTCACGAACTTAGTGTACGCGTCACTGGCTCCGCGCGCGCGGAAAAAGAAGTAGTTCTCGCAAGACCCGCCCTGATTTGGCGAAAACGAAGGGGAGAGGAACGGTAAGTAGGCGGCTTTGATTAGGGGAATGGGGACGAGGGGCAACAAGAGCGTAATTTGAGGCGAGTGAACATCCTGCGTGTATTGCAGACGTGGAGGTTGCGTTCTTACCCCGAAGATTCTGCAGAAGGCTCCCGAAGTGGTTGCCGTCGTCACAGGCTTGTCAGACCTGTCGGAAAGGGCGAAGCAGGCGTTGATGAGACGAGAGAGGCAGCTGTGAAAGAGAAACAAAGGTGAGTGGATACACTTGTAACAAGGCGAAGACCGAGGCCAAGGACGTGTGGATGCGCTGAGCACGCGCGCGTGTAGGGGTTACACTGGTGAGTATGCTAGTAGCGGGTTCTGGCATTAGCGGACGCACAGCTGCTAACGCGGACGAGGTGGCTCCAAGCAGTCGACTTACTTGTGGCGAAGAGCGGTGGAGGCGACCTTCTCGCTGCTGACGGCGTTAAGTGTGATCACAGGTGTTTCTTCCTTGAAGTTGTAGAAAAAAAAGTCGCACACCTGCAAAAAGAGAGAGACACAGGGAGAAAGAGAACGGCGTGGTCACACACGTCATTTGCCTGGCGATGGTTGCAATGAGGGGGGGCGGATCCACAGCCTTGTCGCGAGATGCTTCGATCAATCGAGCAATAATGAGATGCTGGACGGCTGACTTGTGAGCGAAGCTTATCAGCTGACCTAGTAGAGCAAGGCATATCAGCACGGATTCGTTGAGTTGGTGATGATGTCAGCACGTGCACGAAGGAAGTGCGAGAAAATGCGCAATTTTGCGTACCTTGAGAGGGGAAATGCAGGGACTCAAATTCTTCGGTTTGGCCACTGCTTGCGCGCCAACCGCTGCCAAACCTGGAGGTACACATCGGGAAAAAGGCGAACGAATAGGTGGTGAGAGATCGTGGGCGGGACGGAAACGATATACGCCTGAATAAAAGCGCACAGCCGGACTTGTCCCAAAACATAACGGATAACTCACTCAGAATTGTGGCGAGAAGGAAACGACGATCCATGGCTTCCGTTCGGTCTAGCTAGATCAGACGAGACTCGACTACGCAAGCTAGCAGCTGGCTTTGGTTGAAAACTGAGGCTGTAAGTGAATTTGGGAAACTCGACCATTGTATAGATCGATGAACAGCGTGCCAATTTGTGTGCGCAGGGAAAGGTGGCGAAATTCCAAGTCGCGGCTCGGGAGGGGATTCGTCACGAATTCCGACATGTAAGGGTATCCGCCCCTAGCGACTCGTTCGCAAGCGGGCTTGGTGCCCACGGACCGAGGCTCTACTCAGCTCTGGAGGCCGACGAAAATGTCGTAGATCTGGTTTGGAGGGTGCCCTGAGCGACGTGAAGCCGTGTTAGTGGCTGACGAACATGTTCTGTGGGTTTGTCGTGTTGGTGGTTCGGCAGCGTCGAGCTGCGCGCTAGTAAGCCGAAAATAAGCCGCAAAAAACGCGAACCAATCGCAGCACGAGCTATGTGGTTTGGTAGTGTACAGTCGTCGCACGTAGAAGTCTTGCCATGACTCGCACCCGAGGCTGAGCACATGACGAACGAGATAGCGTCAGTTACGAACCGTATCGTAGAGACCCATGTATCGGGTATAATTTCATACCAATCATTCACCTCATTGAGCAAACTAAGAGCATGAAACAAAATTGCACATTTGTTCAACACGCACACATCCAAAATCCTAGATACTTCCTTCCCTTCACATTCCTAGGCTTTCCACGTTCCTCCCTCTGTCAAGCGCCCTTGTTTCTCCCTCACGCTATTCCACACAGACAGCAGTCTGCTCACCTATGAGCCCATTCATACGCTCGAGCACATTGTCACCCACTGACAGGCACTCAACCAAGTACCGTCGCACGTGCCGAGTCAACACACCATGCAATCCCCATCACCACGTTGCCTACTCCCAGACGAAATCCTTCTCTCCCTTTCTCTTCCCTTCATCATAACACCCACCCCGTCTGGCCACACCATGCGCATACCCTGCACCAGCTCCCACTCCACGCCGCCCTCTTGCTGCACTCCGTAACTCCTGGTCACTATGCAATTCCTTCCCAACAAGAAACTCCCCACTGCACAAGCCATCCAGCGCCATGCCACCAAGTGCAACACGCCCTTCCCCTCCTTCCAACTGCCAACTGTGATGAGTACCAGCAGCAGCAGCAGCAGCAGCAGCAGAATAGCCAGAATCGCGCCCTGCGTCTGCCGAAATTGCAGTGGGGTGAGTTGCATGGCCAGCATTGCCAAACCCACGCTTTGCAGCGTGCGTCCCAAAAAAGGCCGCAGGATGGGCAGCTGCAGCAGCAGAAGAAGGAAGAGAAGCAGCAGCAGCAGCAGCAGCCGATCCGAACAAGCGGTCAAATCCGCCATGACTTTCCAAACGGCTCACTGAGCCAAAACGAGCCTCAACTGCATCGTGACCGCTGGGGCCAAGCCAGCTCCCGGATCCAGAGTAGCTACTGGCGAATGGGCCTGACCAGGTGGGAGGGGAGAACAGCTTGCTTGGCTTGGCGCTGCTGAATCCAGCCAAGTGGCTGCTGCTGCTGTAACCAGTGCTGGCACTCTGTGGGTGAGCAGGTTGAGACCAAGTGGTGTCACGCGTGGCAGGCGCATGGTTGCGAGGGATAGGGAGGGCGGATGACGCACGGTGTCCTGTTGATGATGGTAGTGACGATGGTGGAATGGTCGATGGTCCTGTAGCTGCACACATGCCACGATTGTTCCAGCCAGCTTGCCCTGGGTTGCCATGGGAAGGATCGGCGCGGAAAGGACGCTGTGAAAGCCCTTGTGCAGCTGCCCTTTCCCGATGCACATCAGTCACATCACTGCACAACACACCACCAGAGCACCCCCCTATGTGCCCAGATGATGATCCCTGAGTGAGTGCAGGATCATTTCTTGTGAGAGCAGGTGATTGCTGCAGGCGAGCTGTGAGAGCAGAGACAGGGGGGACGGTCCCGGAGGCAGAGGCAGCGGTGCGAGCCGGCCTGGGATGCGCGGTGCCTAGTGCCCTCTGCATGCTCTTCAGCACGGCTGCTGCTACTGCTGCTATCTCCTCGCTGCTGTCATTGCCGCTACACTCGATAGAAGCACGGGCGGCGGAGGCGGCATGGGTGGCAGTGGAGGTTGTGACTGGGAGAGGGGTCGCTGAAGGGTATCGGTTGAAAGGGTTCTGAATGGAGATGTGATCGTGGGAGGCGTGATTGTAAGTGGTGTGACTGTAGGGCTGATGCTGGGAAGTGGTAGAGTGACAGTGGGATGATAAAGAAGGGAGAGGGCTTGGTGAACGGTGGGAACAGGGAGGAGGAGAACTGGGTCCTGCATGGTGTTGTGGCGTGAATGGGGTGGGATTCTGCAGAGACATGACGTGCAGAGATGAGGAGGATGAAACAGGAAATGCTGTTACAGACGGGTTACCACTACCACAAGTATGACCAGGAGCGCCGCTGTGGCAACAAGTGCATGACACAGGGTTGTTTCGCGACACGAAACCGCTGCCACTGCCGCTGCTACGCCCACTGCTGCTGCTGCTGCTGCAGCTGTTGCTTCTGCTGTTGTTTCTGCTCCTGCTCCTGCTGCTGCTCGTGCTGCCGTTGCTGCTGCTGCTGCTGCTTCGCCTGTGCATGATTTTCCTCGCGTTCCCACTGCCACTGCTGCCAGCTGCCTGGCCACGCTGGCCCACGTGGCTACTGCTGAGACCAGTGAGGGCGCCGCTAAGAGACTGGAAGGTGAAGACAGAGGTAGCAGCAGGGGCTGCAGAGTCAAAGGATGGCTGCTGCTGAAGGCGGTTGTGGTAGAGGTGGTGGTGGTGGTGGTGCTGCTGCTGCTGCTGCTGCTGCATTACAGAAGAGGGCACGGGGAATGTGTTGCTGCTGGTGTTGTGAGTTTCAAAGCCAGGGGTTGGCGAATTGGTTGGTATGGTGTTGCTGCTGCTGCAGACGCTGCTGGTGGTATTAGCGGTGAGACGGGCGTTCAAGGAAGCAGATTGAGGGCCATGGGAGTATAGGTCCGCCCAAATGGTCTCTGACAGCAAATCATCCTCATCATCATCATCATCATCACCAAGGCTCCCATCGGCAGTACCCGGTGCTTCGGCAGGAAGCATAGCTTCACCCGAACCGGAAGCATCAGCAGCCGCAGCAGAAGGTGGCAGAGGCATCGCAGGAGGAGGAGGCAGAGCAGAATCCGTGAAGGTGGAAGCAGTGGCGGCAGCAGCAGCTGCAGCGGCAACGGCAGCAGCAGTGACGGTCGAGAGGGCTGTAGTGGTCGCTTCAGCCGCAGCAGCCGCCGCAGTAGCAGCAGCGGCAGCAGAAGGGGGATGTGGGGCAGGAGGAACATAATGGATCGGCGGTAGCGATGCATTGAAGCAGTTATTGGTCCGGGTATGCGCGAGAGTGTCTACAGACGGAAAGGGATGGGAGAAGGACGGGCGTTTATTAAGGGAAGGGCGCTTGAGGGGAGGGCGAGAGGGGAGCGTGAGAGCGCTGCATTGCTCCTTCACCACCTCCTTGCATGGCGGGCTGCCCAGGTTACCCAGGTGAAAAGGGCCCACCTGCACTCGCCCCAAACCCATCCCTCCCCCATCACCTCCCCAAAACTGGCTGCTTGTGCTCACTCCCTCCTCTTCCTCCACCTCCCCCTCCCCCGCCCCCTCCCCCTTCTCCTCCCCCACCTCCCCCTCCTCGTCTTCTTCCCCGATACCCCCTTTCCCCTCACCCCCCTCCCGTCCCTCAACTCCGCCACCCTCTCCCACCAATTGCACTTCACCCTGCCCCGGCTCTCCCCCCTCCCCCGGCTCTTCCCCCTCACCCTCCCCCTCGCCGCGCATGGTCGCCACGCGCTCCTCGAGCCGCTCCACGTGCTCACTCGACGCGTCCAGAGCGTCTCTTAGAATCCCCACCTGGTCGCACAGAGACCGCTTCTCGCGCTCCGCCTTGGCCGCTGCCTGCCGCAGCGCCGCGATCGACTGCTGCTGGCGCTCGATGAGCGACAGCAGCGACGCGTTCTCCAATAGGAGCAGCTCCGCGTTTCCCGCTGTGGCTGCTGGCGGTTGCCCTGCTGGCCGTGCTGCTGCTTCCGGTAGTGTTGACGCTGGTGCTGCGATTGCCGCCGCAGCAGCAGCAGCAGCACGTGGTGCATGTGTTCCTGGCGCAATCCCGCCAGCAGATACTCTGGCTATCTCACCTTCCATCTCTCTCCCCTCACCCTCTCCCCCCCTGCGAACCGCTCAGTCTCCGCTCCTTGACGTTCCTGCCCCCCACCCTTCGCCTTCCCCGCGCCCAGTCCCGCCTTTCGCCTCTCCGCCTTTCGCCTCTCCGTCCCCCCTCGCGGAGTTCGCGCTCAGAGAATCAAACGCGTTCCCAACCCCAACCGACAGAACCAGCTATGTTTTCCCGCCAAACACGCACTGCCAGATGGCCGCTAGGAATTGGTTATCGCTGTAGCGTTAGTCCTGACTTCCAGCCGCAACGGGAAACAGGTAAAAAAAAACACGTCGCCCGCCGATTTAGGGATTGGCGCCGCAAAACATTTCGGTCATGAAGAGAATCGGCATTTCGGAGCAGGCAGGCGCCATCAACAAGAGTCTCCTTCTTGCTGTCCTTTCCCGTCCCAGATAGGGACAGGCTCGAAATGGCGGACCATTGTGATGGCGTGGCGTGGGGAGTGCGTCACGGGTTTGGCAAGGGGGGGGTGTAATTGATGGCGAATGGTATGGACGAGGAGATGCATCAAACCTGAAGGCCCGTAGGTGTTTTACACTTCCCCTCCACGGTTAAGCATAGTTCAGTACAAAGATGGAAAATTTTACAGCCCCCAGAAATAATTGCCAAGTAAAGAACCCACCCCTTGAGGTGATTTCATCCTATCTGTGGAATTGAGGGGTAGTAGGGCGCATACTTAGCCCCTTAGTCAGGGTTCTACTCGGGTCGAGTCAGTCGTTCAGTGCACTTCAGCTGTGACAACACCCCTAGTGACTAGGGAATGCGCTCAGAATATAGCCGATGTTACATGCTGGAACTCATATTTGTAGTGAGGGCAGGGCAGTCCGAATTGAGAAATTCAAGTGGAGGCAAGGGGCAGCAGGACAGAGCAGGTGGCAGGGCTCCATCGAGGAAAGCACGCTGGGCCAAACTTCATTGACATGGCAAATGCTGGTTGGAAGAGACCCACAAATGACATGTTTGGGATGGCCCACCACAGATAAGCCCCTTTTGTACGCCCTTGATCAAATGTCCGTAGCCTCTTAAAACAAGGGCCCCTTAGAATTTTAGAAAGTCTAACTAGAATGTTAGGCAATCATGGGGTTTATAAACTATGTAAATAAAAATCTGAGGTTTTCAATGTGGCCATGCAACACTGAGAAGCGCTAGTATGGAAACCGACCATTATGATTAGTGTTGTGGTACCTTGTTGTGGATGGTTAATGCAATCCGAGACAATTTACAGAGCACACAGATACAAGACAAATTTAATTTAATTTGGATGGTTATAAAAAACTTGCTACAAAACAAATAAACTCCATGAAATGGCTTGAGCGTGGTTGGGGTTTTTATATGAGCCCCTTTTTAATGAGAGTTAGAACCACGAGTTTTTCTACGCTACGTAGGTTATACACTAACGGGTCGTGCGTATTGGTATTTTCCGGTTCTGTATATGCTGAGGTGTTTGTCGTTTGTCGTTTGGGCATCTGGAAGCAGTTGCTGTCGCTGATCCTCTACACCTAACCTGCGACATTTTGACCGCGGGGAGCTAGGGTTGGAGGAATTTCGTCGTCACCCTGGCCGTTTCTTGGTCTGCAGATATCATTCCCGGTTATCTACGGGCCTGGGTCCATTGCCTCTCCGTCTCTAGCTGTTTGACGAGGGTCGTAGACTTTGGAAAGAGAGAGCATCAAAGCTGGGAAATACAGCGGCGTAAATATCGTTCTCCAGAAACCCAAGTCCGATCGTTTTGCAGGGGCTGCTGAACCCGCTTCTTAGGTCATTACTTTTGAAGGTGACTACCCTCGAACTGTCACCCCCGGTGAGATTGGGGGGATAGAAAATATCGCAGGTTAGGTGTATTGGTTTGATCGCGCTTGTCTCGATCGATTTTTACGGAAGCTGCCACGGTTCACAATGGCGTATTTGGGGGGTTGTTTGGCGACTGGTGTTGTGTGTCCATGTCACAATGTTGTACTTACAGCCGCCAGTTTCAACACACTTTCATTTCCCGTTCTGGTGCAAGCGTTGAGAGCCAGAACCAGAGAAACGAGGTAACGAAGTTCCCTTACGTTTGCAGCGCTAAGGGCGTGTGACTTATGGTACGAACAAGCCTCCAGTACGAACTTCTAGAGCGGTAAAGGACAATTGTGGTGGGTTGCAGACGGTTAAAACCGCGGTGCAGAGTGGTGACGGTACGAACTCTCGACAAATTTCCAAAAAAATTACACGCCCTAAGCGTCAACGTTTCGACAAAATCATTAGGAGAAATTGTGCTATAGTCTCAAAATGAAATTCGAGAGAGCCCTTCATTTTTTTAATACCTGAGGCACCGACTCGAGGAATTCACCACCGCACCGTACCGTTACGGCTGATCGGATGCAAGGAAGAGGAAATCCTTGGGCAAAAGGCTGTCACTTTGGTCAAATCCCGCTCTCTTGTTTGGCACAACACAGCACAGGCCCGACATTGAAACTGTTCAGTCAATACAAAAAACAAGACGAGAAAGTGCCCATGACCATGTTTCAGCCCAGTGGACTTGCTACTGGTTCAGAGAAATGATGATCAAGAATGCTCCTAGACCCACCTGAATTCTCGTTGACATTTTCCAGATGATTGCTTCTTTCTCAGCAGGGAGCTGGTTATAGTTTGCCCTGTGATGTGTCCAACTTCCACTCCACCTGACCACCACCAGCTGTCATTGTTATAATATGGGTATTCACGAGCATCGGGTAAACTTGAAACGTTTAAACTCACTCATCATCGATCGCACTACGCCGACTCATTGCTTCTTCCCCCACCCCATCACCAACTCTGTTGTCTCCTTCCCTCCTCGCTCTTCTCCCCCACCCCTGGACCTCTCCCCTTGTGCTCCGCGCGGGAAATGCCTCATCACGTTTGCCCGCTGCCCAGGCTGGGACAGGAAGCAACTCATGCAGACATCACGAGGGCCCAAGTAGCTTCATTGTTCGATGGCTTTTTAGGTAATCCGCCTGCGCGTCGGTTCCAACCTGCGCTGCTACTTTCCTGTTACTATACCGTGCATATTTTGTTGCATCTCCTCATACCGCACCTCCCGCCGCGTAGCCTGCCTCCCTCTTTGCCACGGCGACGTTTTTTGCCAGCAAGCAACACCCTACTGATCCATCTCTCACCCTCGTCCCGCGTACATCATCCATTAGTCGACATCAACACGCTCTAGCTCCATCCCGCATTAATCACAGCATGGGACGAGCGGCCATTAATGGTTCCACTGCATCATTCTCTTGCGATGTTGTGTCATCTCCTCCATTCCTAGTATATCCCCCACCTTCGCATCTCCCTGTCGCTCCTCCGATGGAAGCCGGCTCAGCAGCAGCGGCTGCTGCAGCAGCAGCAGCAGCAAGAGCGAGCGAGACGGCGGGAGCTACTGGGCTCCCAGGGACAGCGCATGCGGCGGTGTTGGCGGCGAGCCGTGTGACGAAATCCCGCGCTCGCAAGTTGCGAATGATCGCGCACGCGACGAAGAACTCGCAAAAAACGTCGCACGGGGTGGCGGGCGACGGGGAAGACGACGACGACGTGGAAAACCCCTTCGCGGACATGCTTAGGCGCAGCGCGAGCGCCCGAGGCAGCAGCGCGAGCATACAGGAGCACGACAGCATACGCGGAAGCTACAGCGCGCGCGAGCCGGGAACTGCAGCTTGTAGCAGTAGCAGCTGCGGGAGCCGCACGCAGCTAGTGGAGGTTGATACGCCGGCAGTTTCGGCGGCAGTTGACGCGGCGGCGGTTTCGGCGGCGGTTCCGGCGGTAGATACGACGGCAGATACGCCGGCTGACGTGGCAGGTGGTCTCGCGGTTTCAAACGGTGTCAGCATAACAACAACAACAACAACAACAACAACAACAGCAACAGCATCATCAGCGAGCAATGTATTCGAGAAAATGCAAGTGCAGCAGCCGCTGTGTAGTGTCGAGACCCGTAGCAACGAGGACGGAAACGGGAGTTTGGCGGTGGACGAATCTAGTGAGCGTGACGGGAACGGCCGTCGCCACAATGCGGAACGGGCGCAGGCGGACGCCTCCGCGGCGGCGGCCGGCGCAGTTAGCGGAGCAGTTGCGGGCGCAGTTGGGGGAGCAGTTGGGGGAGCAGTTGGGGGAGCAGTCGGGGGAGCCGTCGGGGGAGCAGCTGTGCGCGCAGTTGAGGGAGCAGTATCCACCGAGAAAGCAGACGGTGAGTCGTCTGGTGCGTCGACGCCACGTAGGCACGGCCGCAGCAGCCGGATTGTACTCAGCGTTGGCGCGTCGCAGCGTCGCGCGCTGCTCCGCTGTCGCGCGGCGGAGAGGCGACGGGCCGGCGACCTGGGCGACGGCGGCTTCGCAGGAGGAGGAGTCGGAGGAGGAGTAGGAGGAGTAGGAAGCGACATTTTGGAGCGAAGCCAGACGATGGACAACTCGCGGCTGCGGTCGCGCGGCGACCGCTTCGACTCGCTGGATTCTTTCGCCGGCGACGTGTATGCCGCGAGTGTGGGGATCCTAGAGGAAGATATATGCGATACGTTCGAGGATCTTAGGTCGGAAGACGGCGAAGGAGGGGGCGGCGGAGGCGGAGGCGGGGGCGGGGGCGGCTCGGGAAGGTGGCTTCCGCCGTTTTTCAAGACCGCGGAGAAGCCGCCGGAGCAGCGGGAGCAGCGGCGGGGACGGCGGAGCTTTAGTTGGAAGGAGAAGGCTGATGGGAGGGAGGCCGCGGCGATGGGTTATTCGCGAAGCAGCAGCTTCGACGAGCAGAGCGTGGGCGACTCGGACGGGCAGAGCATAGACGACGGCGACGTTAGTATGGACGGTGAAAGCGAGTCGCTCGGCGGCGCGGAGAGGAGAGGCCGCGTGCGCTTTAGGCGGATCACCAACAGCAGGAGCTTGAAGGGCTCTGCCAGCCGCGACGCGGATTATAACGGAACGGACTGTAATGGCGACGTCAGCGGCGGTGGCGGAAGCGGCGGCGGAAGCGGCGGCGCTGGAGGCGCAGCAGCCACTAGCCCGTCAGACCCGCAGTACGCGCATTTCACAGCGGCTCTTCCGCCGCTATGCGCGTCTCCGTTAAGGACGTATAGCTCCCGGCGGCGCACTATGGAGCTCGCGCTAATCTCCCCCACTGCCGTCGCCAACAGGCGCAACAACTCCGGCTCCTCCCCCTCCGCTTCCCCCTACCACGCGCGTTCGGGTCTTTCCCCTTCCTCCGCGCAGGCCTGTTCCGCGGGAGCTACTTTCGGTGGCGGTACTGCGCCAGGGGTGAATCCTTCCGCCAGCAACGCTTGTGCTGCGCCCTCCGCACCTGCCGCCGCGTCCGCCACTATTCGGCAATGGACGGGGCCTCGAGCCGCGAGCCCGGACGTGCCGCCACCTGGCGGCGTGGTAGTGGTCCGGGAGAGGGTTCTAACTCGGTCGCTGACTCTCGGGTGCCACCCCAACGGAAACGCAAACCAGCAGGGGCAGCAGCAGCAGAGGGAGGTGCGCGGCGGCGGCTACGGGGGGGGGAGTTTCAAGGATCGCGTGGGAGGGGGCTCGCACGGAGGGGAGATGATGGGCGGCGTGGGGTGGGCGCGAGAGGGCAGGCACGGGCACAGCAGCAGCCAGGGCGCGACCTTGGGGGAGTCTTTGGGGAATGAGAACGTGCTGGTGGATCCTCAGTGTGGCATGTGCGTTGCTGGTGGTGCTGGTGGTGCTGGCGATGGTAGCGACGCTGCGGAGGGCGCAGAGGTAGTGGGCAGAGGGAGCAGAGCAGCAGCAGCAGCAGCAGCAGGTGTTGCCGCCGGATGGCCCAGTGCAGGAGGGGGAGGCAATCTGATTGCCGCGGGGGCACTCCTGCCAGGGAGAGGAGACGCAGCAGCAGCAGCAGCAACAGTAGCAATAGCGACAGCAGCAGCGGAAACAATGGCAGCAGCTGGCGGAGGCGTCGGCGGCAGCAGGGGGGGTTCGCCGCAGGGGTCGGCATCAGCAGCGGCAGCGGCAGCGGCAGCGGCAGCGGCAGCAGTGCCTGTAGCAGGCGGTGCTCCCAAGGTGATGGTGTCGATTCTGCCGAGTTTCGCCCAGTACCGCGCCATGGTGGCTCAGGCAGAGCAGCAGGAGATGGCGCTACTGCTGGGAAACAATTCAGGCAAGCTAGGCCGCAGGAGGCGGGGGGGGCGGGTGCAGGCTGCGTGCGATGTGGATGGGGAGGGGAGTGAGACAGAGACGGTTGGGAAAGTGGGTAGTGAGGGGAGTGTTGTGGAGGAGAGGGCCGGGGATGTGAGGGAAGGGGAGGCCGTGCAGGGGAATGGGGGATGCGAGGGAGGGGATGCGTGCAAGGGGCAGGTGCGGCAGGCAGGGCAGGTGGGGCAGGGGGTAGTTGATGGGGCAGTAGGGCAGTCGGCAGATTCGCTCTTTTCAAGTGGAGCTTCGTCTGCTTTTTACAGCTTCCCCCTCTCTGATGGCCACGAGTCTATAGGTGCTGCTGATGCTAGTGCTGGTAGCAACTCTGCAAGCAGTGGAGGAGGGCTAAGGGCTCAGGAGGAGGAAGAGGGAGAGGAGGGAGAGGAGGGAGAGGAGGGGCGTTTCTCTTCAACGGTGCATGGAGCTGGAGGTGTGCAGCACTGGGATGACACTGTTCTTGGTATTCCCCCTATGTTCTCCGTCCGTGCCAAAACCTAGACACCAAGCTTGCGCTGCTCACACGACACGAGCGTGTGTGCATGCGTGATTGTGTGTGGGTGCCTCATTCTTTCATGGGGCACTACCTCGACGATTTGAGTTTACTTCTGCCGTTACAGGTGTTTCATCCCTGATTCTGTGGGTATACTAGTAGTGGTGGGTAGTGTCAAACAGATTTGTATATGTTACAATAGGCTAGATAGGTGCATGCTCTTAGAGCATACAACACTTGCACAAGATCAACCTGCATGTCACATTCTAGTAAACTTAACAACTCTAAGTTGGTCTTGTGATAAATGAAGTTTTGCATTCCTGCAAGTTCCGTTTTTGGTGTAGTTAGCAGTATCAAGTTTCTCGGTAAGGAAACAGGTCCGAGTGAAAACGTCAGCAAAGCATCGCGCGTCTAGTGAATGACGTCATCATACCGCTTCAGTTACGTGATTAGGCGTAACGAACCGCTTTCAGTCACGCGAACAGTCGCAACCCTATAGTATGACGAGTAGGTCGCATAGCGCGCAACTAACCGAACAGGTACTTTTCCCTAGAGCTATAAATCCTTGTGATGCCTTTCTATTATCAACCTTGACTTTCCACAGAATTATGTGCTCAGGTTATTCAACCTTCGACTATCCACAAGTTCATGTGCTTAGGTTCACTCTGATAAGACTTCCGCTGTCTTACTAGTCTACCATTCCAACAAAGATCCTTGGTTAAGTAGTCATGTTTGCAGATTCTATACTTAGTCTCCTGCAAAACCTGTCAAATTATTACAGGTCTCACGCGCTACGCTAGGTTGGGTCCTCCTCGCCCACCCGCGCTTCCGCTCTCGTCCTAGCCCTAGCCACCGGCCCCGTTCGCCCCGTAGGCTCGTTAGCACCCCGTCGGCCCCGTTCGCCCTCACGGCCCCGTTAGCGCCCCGTCGGCCACGTGCGCCCTCACGGCCCCGTTAGCGCCCCGACGGCCTCGTGCGCCCTCACGGCCCCGTTAGTGCCCCGTCGGCCGCGTGCGCCCCACTGGCCCTGCTCGACCTGCCGGCCCGTTCGCGCCCTCACGGCCCCATTACCGCCCCGTCGGCCTCGTGCGTCCCTCTGGCCCTACTCGCCCCGCCAGCCCGCTAGCGCCCTCCCGGCTCCGTTAGCGTCCCGTTGGCCCCATTAGCGTCCCCCGGCCCCGTAAGCGCCCCGTTGGCCCCATGCGCCCCTCTAGCCCTGAGCCCCGCCGGCCCGTTAGTGCCCTGCTGGCCCGTTAGCGCCCAGCCAGCCCGTCAGCGCCCCGCCGGCCCGTTAGCGCCTTGTCGGCCCCTTGTGCCCCTCTGGCCCCACTCACCCAGCTGGCCCCTTAGCGCCCCGCCGGCCCTCTCGCGCCCTCCCGGCCCTGCTCGCACCCTCCCGGCCCGTCGGCCCCGTGCGCCCTTAGCGCCTAGTCGGCCCCATGCGCCCCGCCGGCCTGTTCGCACCCTACCGGCCCTGCCTGCACCCCGTCAGCCCCGTTGGCCCCGTCGGCCCTCGTCAGCCGGTCGACCAGCCAGCCGCCCAGCCAGCCGGCTCCAACCTCGCTGGCCCCCACTTCAGCGGCCGCCCGCCAGACCGTTGAGCCCCATCGCCGACCCACCGGCTCTGGCTCCCTTCAGCGCCGGCCTCCCGGCCGGCTGTCTCCACCGCTCTCCACCACCCTTCACCGCACTCCACCGCTCTCCTCCGCACTACACCACACTCCATCCTCTTTCCTGCTTCCTCCACCTGTCCTCCTCAATCTGTCAGCGGCCGTCAGCAGCTGCAGCAGTGGCGATGGCGGAGTCACAGCTCCGTCTGGACGCAGAGGGTCGGGCGCTCGACTTTGAGGCGTGGCTCGTCGACCTTCAGCGTCACCTTACAGGTCAGCGCCAGGACGGTCACTCTCTGGCTGTTCATGTCGATGGCCTACTTTCCCACCCCCTTGCCCCTGCTGCCCTCCCTGATGCCCCCACCATTGCTAAGCATGAGGCCTTTTCCACTGCTGCACTTGATTGTGCTGTCTAGGACTCGCGCGACGCTGTTGCCCAGCTTGCCATCAACCGTGCGCTCCCACAGTCTGAGCGTCCTTGCTTTACCACTGTAGCGAACGCCCAGGCCTTTTTAGATGCTGTCATTGTGCGCTATTCCACCCCCGCCACTGCCTCTGCTGGTTGCCTGATCCTTCCCATGCTGTTCTCTGATCTTGCGTCATTCCCCATTATCGCCGACTTTGCCACGCACCTCCGCACGCTTGAGATGAGCTACCGCGCTGCTAGCACTGAGGCACAGCTCACTGCCTTCCCGCCGCCGTTCCGCGCTACCCTTTATCTCATCGCCACGTGCCTCCCTAACTGCCTAGCCACAACTCGTGACCACTTCCTTAGTTAGCACTTGGGTGACCTCACACTCACCGCCTTTGTCACTGTCCTGTCTGATATAGAGACCCGCCAGCGCAGTATCGCTCAGTCTAGCGGTACTGCGGCGGTACCTATCTTTCAGGGCTGTACTCCCTCCCAGTGTATATTACTCTCACGTCTCTGCTGCTGTTGCTAAGACCGCTGCTGCGGCCTCAGCGCAGAAGTGTCCGGGTAAGGGTCACCGCCCCAAAGGGGGGCGCGGTGGAGGGAAGGGGGGTGGCGGTGGGGAGGGTGGCGGCGGTGAGGGCGGGGATAGTGGTCCAGATGAGGGGACCGGGGCTCGTGCCCCGGAGCAGCCGCAGCAGCAGACGCAGCCTCAGCAGCAGCAGCAGCCGCCGCCGTTGGCGCAGCAGCAGCAGTCGCCGTGGGGACCGCCGCCGTCGTAGTGGACAAGCGGCGCAAGCAGCGGTGGTCGTGGGGGGGGCGGGCACCGCTCGGTGTCAGGTGGCAGCTCCAGCACGGTCATCTGCCAGTACCAGCTTCAGACCGGCCCTCGCCGTGGCACTGTCTGCCTCCGGCCCGGCCACACCGCCGACCGTTGCTACCGCTGCCTAGACGACCTGTTCCGCCACCGCTTCAGTCCTGCGTCGGACCCTCCGGACTGGTACGCCTTGTGCCGGACTTTGAGCTTGATATGGATCACATTAGGAATGCTATGTCTGTCATTTATACTGATGACTCTAGTGTGATTGGATCCTATTACCCGGTGTTGCCTAGCGTAGGTGTGTCCACCGTGTGTAGTCTACGCTCCCCTACTGCGTCAAGCATAGGATCCCCTGCCTTGTTTAGCCTAGGCTCCACACTAGCCACTCTCCCGGGAGCCGCTAGCGCTTCGCTCTCCTTCACACTTGACTCCGGTGCGTCTACCTGCTTCTTCCACGACCACACTTCCCTTATGCCGCTTGCCGCCCCTGCCACAGTCGCCCTTGCAGACCCCTCCTACGGCCCCATAGTTGCACGTAGCTCCACCACACTTCCCTGTCGGGCAGCCCCCTCGGGCACTCTTACAGGCCTGCACATCCCCTCGTTCTCTAGGAACCTAGTTGGTTTCGTCTATCTTCAGGACCTCGGCGTCACCACTATGTTCCCCGGGAACGAGACCGCCACTGGTGCTCCTCTGACCATGTTCCCCCAGGACCCTGTGTCTGGCTTGTTTACACTTGACACTGTGTCGCCCCTGGTGAGGGCGTCCCCCAAGGAAGCCGCGGCTTGCTCATGTCGGTCGCTCACTCACCCGTCGCTGCTGTGGCACCACCGCCTAGGTCACCCTACGCTCCCACGTCGGCGTCACATGCCCCAGCACAGTCTTGTCCTAGGTCTTTTTGCGTCGCTCCCTTCCCTCCCTCCCTTGCCGCCGTGCATGCTCTGCGTCGAGGGCCAGCTGCGCCGTGCTCCTGACTCTTCCTCGCTTTGCCCTGCCCCCGCGCCACTCCAGACCCAGCACCAAGACGTTTGGGGTCCAGCCCCTGTCCCTGGGCCACGTCGAGAGCGCTACTTCCTGTCGACTACTACACGCGCTACACCATGGTGTTTCCTCTGGAGCGGAAGGCCGACGTGCCTGACATTCTTATCCCGTGGATCGTAGCTGCACGAGTCCACCGAGGTCTCCCTGTGTTGTGTCTCCACTCCAACCGCGATGGCAAGTTTGCCTCTGGTCGGCTTGGCCGGTTCTGTCGTGCGGAGGGCATCACCCAGTCGTACACCCTGCCGTAATCCCCACAGCAGAATGGGGTCGCTGAGCGACGCATTGGCCTGGTCATGGAGATGGCTCGTACCTCCATGATCCATGCCGGTGCACTGCATTTTCTGTGGCCGTTCGCTGTGCGCTACGCCGCTCACCAGCTGAACTTGTGGCCCCACTCCCAACGGCCGCAGGTTTCGCCGACCCTCCTCTGGACCAGGTCTCCTGGTGATGCGTTTGGGTTCCACGTCTGGGGATGCCTCGCTCACGTTCATGCCTCTGGCACGGACAAGCTCACTGCCCGCACTGTCCCCTATGTCTTCCTTGGTTTCCCCATTGACTCATCTTACTGGCACTTTTACCAACCGCCGTCTCACCGCTTCCTTCACTCGCGTGCCGTCACTTTCGATGAGTCTGTCTCCTTTTACCGTCGCTTTCTCCACCGAGGTCTCCCGGTTTCCCCACCTCTGTTTCTGGTTCCCACTCCCCCGGTAGCCCCTGATCCCCTCCCTCTCCGTCCTGCAACGACTAGAGTCTCTCACGTCACTCCCCTCCCGTCGGTGGTCCCGGTCGAGGAGTCGGCTGAATATGGTGGCCCCGCGGTGCGGTTCTCGCCGCCTGCCTCTCCCCCGGTATCCCCTCCCCCGGTGTCGCAGTCGTCGTCGCTGCCGCAGCAGCCACCGCCGCCGCTGCAGCAGCAGCAGTTCGTGGACTCTGGGGTGCTAGCGTTGAGGAGGGTGCTAGTCCTGGGGTTCCTGTCGTGGCTTGTCCCGGCGGGTTCTGGGGTGGCACCGTTGCTGGAGAGGGTTCTTGCTCTAGGGGTGCTTGCTCTGGGGGTGCCGTCGTGGAGTGTTCCGAAGGTAGCCGTGGTGCAACTGGCGGTCCAGGTGTCGGCGTTGAGCAGCAACAGCAGCATTCGCCGCCGGTGTCCACCCTTCGCCTTCTCGGCCTTCCCTCCCCTTACCGCTTGCCAGCGCCTCCTTCGCCGCCTCCTCCCCTTCTTGTCCACGGTCCTATGTTTCCTTCGCCGGACTCATCCCCAGCTCGTTTCCCACCTCGTTCCCCTCCTGTTACTCCTCCTCTGTCTCCTGACCCAACGCCTCCGTCCTACTTCTCGTCTCGCCGTCCCTCCTGTGCTCGTCCTGTCTCTCCTGTACAGTGCTCTCAACCTATGTTGCTTCATTCCCAC